TGCCAGAAACTTTACAGGTACTGACTCCCTCCATTTTGCTTAATGTATCTTAGATATTCACCAGCTGGACAACTTGAGAGCTTTACAGTTTGACATTTTATAAAGTGCACTGTTTCAGTAGACTTTGCTTTTAGGTTTTTTTTTTTTTAAATGACGCAAGTTATAATCATCTTTTAGTTACAACATGCACAAAAGTTGAGAGGTATTAATAAAGGATCTATTTTTCTCAAGGAGAAAAAAATGCTCTTAAAGGAACCTGAGCCTCTTTAGCAGTTATATACAGGGGAGGGAGAAAGCTGAGATTGTTCTAAGTTGAGATATTTTTAAAATGTTTTTTTTTAAATGCTTGTTTCTAACTGAAATTTGGCTTGATTTGGAGACATTCACCTTAGAGCTTTTCAAGGTTTGCTGTGGTAAAATCTTTCTCAGTTTTTCCTATGAAGTGCTGTGGCCATCTTATTTTGCATGACATTCATAGCTACAATTTTTCTGGGACAGCTGATGCCCTGCTAGCTAGTAACCAGAATTGTCTGCAACACTGTGGAAAAAAAATATGTTGGAATGAAATGTGTGTGTCTTTCAGCCCAAATTCCCCATCTGGTAGCAGCATTTTGGTTGGAAGCAGCTCAGATGAACAGGAGAGACATTGTCATTAGAAGGCAAGCTGCAGCATGGTGGGGAGCTGTTCAGCTCTCTAAACTGATATTAGCTGAATCCTGCTAAGCATCTCCACATCCCCACACCCCCATGCCAACATTTCAATTATGGAATTTCTAACTGTGAGCAGAATGTTTGAAACCAAGGCCACTATGTCTCAGGACACCGGTAGAAGAAGATACATGTGAGATGGTCATTTGAGGAATCTGGAGAGGTACTTGGTTTCTAAATTAGGCTTTTTCTCTAAGTTGAATGTGAGACTGAAATGAGAAGGCTAGTTGTTCTTATATAGCAAATTGTTTGAAAATTCTTGCATCAAAACTATCTGCTCTCTTTCGTAAATAATAGACATGAACAATAATCCATAACAGCATATGTGAATTGAAATATGGCTGGCCACACAGAATCAGAAGGAATTGATATCAAGCCTCTGAGAACAAGAGGAGCTGTGTCTCAAACTCACAAAACCTCTGCTTTAACTCATTAGCGGAAGTAGTTGGATTTGTTTTGTTTCATGTCTTAAGCCTGTAGGAGAAGTTACTCCAAAACAAAAATAGTGCAAGTGTGATATTTAATTTGAGATGCATGATGTCCTACACATATGAGTCATGTTTATACGTGAGTGTAAAGATAGAATTTAATGATCAAGGAACAGTTTTGCACTGGGTATTTGTTTAGATCTGTGATTCCTGGTTGTTGGTCATCCTAGGTACTAGAAGTTACTGAATCTGGTAGCCTGGAGGTTTGCAAGGCTGCTGTGGCTCTGTCTTCGTGTTCAGACAGTAGTAAGGCAGAGCTCAGACTTCTGAGTGAAACACACATGCACATGGCTGCACAGAGCAACATCAATAGACCGCAGCGCCCTGTCAGCACACACATGAGCACACAACATGCACACAAATGCAGTGCAGGCTGCCTCACCCTCTTCTTCCCCTCCAGCTGATGAGCATTGAAGTCTGGTAGGGGCACGCGTGCGTGTGTGTACATCTACAGGTGCATACACAACAGGCAACACTTCAGTAGCTGGGCGTAGATAATCTGTCCACGAGCTGGACCCAGATCTCACTGGTGTCCCCAGTTGCTGGAACCCAAACAGAAGAGCCTTGGAGATTTGCAGACCTACTCTAACTGCTGGTGGTCTGACCTCTTCTACTTGCTGGCTAGTCGAGTTTGAAGTTAACTGTTGCTCACACATACCCACTCAAAAGAGAGACCACACCTAAATGGAAGATACTTAGAAACAGGACTTAGTGAGAAAATAGGACAGACTTCAGCAATTGAGGTCAGGACAAACATGCTGACCAACTAGCTATTTAGAGTCAGCTGGTTCCTTTTATCTCTTTTTTCCTCTGTCTTGCCCTTGTTCCGCTGTGATCCACCTCGATCCCTCCCTTTCCCCAGCTCTGGTCCCTCCCCTAAATGTTCTATAGTAAGTCTCACCCATTTACACAATCTCCTTAACACATCCCATAATTTTACACTCTCCAAAAATATTCTTTCCCCTGCTTCTCTTATTGAGTCATACCCTTCCCTCTAGGCAAGAACCCCCTTAGTCTGCAGGGCGTTCTGAGATTACTTTCTCAGCTGACTCATCCAGATAGATTTTGCATTGGGACAAGGGGTGTCTGCAGTGCTTTGCTGTACCTCACACCACTTTTGAATGACTGGTGAAATAAATCAATGGGGTGTTGAAGGCCCCAAGTTTTAACAGTATTTATACCAGCCTGTAAGGAAGAAAAAGCTTTCCCAAATTCTGCACTCTTCTCAATAAAATGTTCATTCAACCACTGAGCTGGAATAATAATCAAAAACATAATATAATTACAGTAAATAAGTAGACACACAGTTTACACCAAATAGCTGATGGAAGCCTCCATTAGAGCTATTACATTCTTCTGTTGGGAAAATGAAATGGAAATACTTCTATAGAATTGTGTGGTACTGTACTTTTTCTCTGATGATATGCTGACTTACATGAACGGTTTCTAACGGAAGGATTTATTTTTTAAATAGAAGTGCAGGTGGGAGTCAGACACAATGAGATTTCCTGCTTCACTAGCTAACCCTATGCAGATTAATGATTCACTTCAGCTCTGTCTGAATAATATTAGTGTAGCAAATTATCCTATATAGTAGGATGCACTTTTCTGTGTCTTATGAGGCATTCATAAGGAGATACAGTGCTATAACTTATGGAACTGTTCCTCACAATATGTGCTTTGCAGATCTCGCTGCTGAGACAATTACCAGTGAAAATGAGACCCAAGACTCATTTTGTTTCTCATCTTGAGGATTATGTTGTCTATAATTTGGGAAAGGCTTAAAGGACTATTTAGACTATTTCCCTCCCACTCCCATAATTGCAGTATCGTCACATGAGCAGAGCAAGCGGAAAAAAGCTCCAGCTGCACTTTGGCAGCTGTGTTAACGGTCTGTTACGTGCTACTAGGCAGCTTGGTGTGGCTCCATTTTCACATTTGTATCAGGAAATTTTAGTCTTGAGGTGACATTGTATTGAACTTGTACAAAACCAGATGTGCTCTAAGATTGTACAATTATTACATCAATTGGTAAGTTACAGCTTATTGATGCTATTTGAAAAGTAAACCAGGCATGCCCCATCAGTAACCCTGTGGGAACAGAAGTTCAGTGTAACAGTTTACTAGGAAACTTGGCTCCAGAAAGCTGAGCAGATTCACTTTTTTTTTTGACTGTGGAAACAAATACAGCAAAACTCAGTGTTTCATTGCACTTTATTGGTATTAGTATTCACATGCCACTAAGCTCTAGCTGATTGTATTACAGTGACCAGAATCCCATTTGCTAAGCAACCCCACAATAAAAGAGGGTTACTTTTGTACCTGAAAATGGGACAAGTGACAGTATGATTCCCACTGAAACAATGGAATGAGACGCAAGTTTCTCCTTGTCTCCTGAGATTTTTTTTTATGCTGTTGAAGAAAAATGTCGATGACTTGAGATAATCCTCTGTGAATGCACAGTTACGCACGTGTTTTTCAGGTCAAAATAAATACAGCCTCACCTACTTCTTATTCCCACTGAAAAATTTTGGTTGTTAGTGATTTGTCTTCCTGATTGGAGCTATTGTGAATCTTACCATGTTCTCGGCATCTGCACAGAAGGCAGGAATGATAACTGGAGATAAAAAGTTTCTTTGCCTCTGTCATCAAATGTACTGTAGTATTTTCAGTACTCTGCCACTTAATTTCTATTTTATAATAGTACTGGTGGTTATTTAAAAAAACTATTTGTGTCTTCTTACTGTTTCTTTCATCAGTTGCTGTAGGATCTTCTTTCACCAGCGTTACTGATTGTCTAAGTATTCACAACAGATTTTGTGTGGACCAAGTCTGAATCATGCAGCTTCTTTACAACAACTATCCAATATAGAAAACATCAAGTGTTAAATCAAGACTCTTCTCTCCATGATACCTTCTGGAATCCTCATGTGCAGGCTCACAGCACTGCATCTTAAAAGTATTAACTTGCTCTATGTTCTGCTTTTCTCATGGAAATAGCAGTTTCCTTTCCTGAGCTTCAGTTCTACCTCTGTAGCATCTAGATGTTACTAGGTTGAAAAAAACAAACCGAAACGAAACTGCATCACTAATGTTCTGCAATCGCAAATGTATTGTTTGTGGCTTGCATTCCAGCAAACCTGTAAACAGAAATAAACCTTGATAAATTAATTGAATAGGCTGGTGAAATGGGCCATAATGAGCATTCATTACATGCTTACATTCTGTTTGTAGTGATACTTGATGTATCTCTGTCTCATAAAGCTTATTTATAGCCACAGTGCAGAGTCATGTGACTGAAACAAGAATGTTTTATAGAATGATATCAGCATGCTGTCATTACCTTTCAATAGCTTAAACCTATGTTTTTTCTTAACAGCGGTAAAGTTATAACAAAGTCTGGCAACTCAAACATTGCAGAAAGTGTATGCCTATAAATGCACATACAGAAACAAGCCCACTTCTACAAACTGTAAATACTTGAAAGCAAATTTTGCAAATGTTTGGCTGAAACTGCATCTTAGCAATTACCTGCTAAATAATGTGGAATTTAGAGTGCATTTTAATTCTGTTTTTAAAGTCTCTATTGGCCTAATGCAACTAATCTTTTTCCAGAAATGTTAGTGGAGTATTTATTTCTGTAGTTAAAGAGTTTCAATGGAATCTGAGGCCGTATTTCATTTTCAGGTAAAAAAAATCAAACATTATCATATTTACTGTTCTTAGTTTGGTAGCTATTAAGAAATCAGAATGAATTTATAATTATGTATTTACATATATTTTAACAATTTGTCTATTTTTCAGATTTTCCAGATAGCGTATGTTATTGTGAAAGCCGCTAACTCGCCTCGACCTGGGAATTGGATATTAGAGCGTTCGCTGGATGGTGTAGACTATCAACCATGGCAATACTATGCTATCACAGACAGTGAGTGCCTGACACGCTACAACATTCATCCCCGTCCTGGAACTCCATCTTATATAAAAGATGATGAAGTCATATGCACTTCTTACTATTCCAAAATCCATCCTCTGGAGAACGGAGAGGTAAGATTAGATGTTATTCCACACACCGCAACCTGGCAGAAAGAAACCCCGTTCCTTAATTGGCAAGTATCTGCCTGAAGTAGACAAAGAATGTTTTGATGTGCTTGAAAAATGGGGCGGTAGTCTATTTGCAATTTTAAAATCCTCATCTTATGTGGTCCTATATAAATGCATACAAGGTGCACTCTAATAAGCACATTCTACAAAGAAAACAAAGAAATAAAAGCGTTACCAGGTAGAGCAATACACTGGTACTTTCAGACATCTTTAGGTGCTTGAAATCTATTCTCATGTCGTTTGTGAACAAAGGTGAGAATACTGGGAAAAATCATGGACCCAGTGAAGTCATTAAAAGACTTTTCTTTGAGGCATGTTTTCAGTCCCTGTGTATAAGCTAGGATATTAAATGGTAATGATTTTACTCAGAGTTTAATTTATTGCATTTAAGAGCTTGTAACGGACCCTCTGCCCCTGCATATAGCTATTCATTATTCTTCTGTCTGAGACCTCAGCTATTTCATCATGAGTCTAAGCACACGAACCGTGAACCAGTCATTTGTTTTAACTGAGGATGTAGAAAAGATGTGGTGGAGGTGAGAATGAGGAAATGTGGTTGAAAGAACAAGGCAAATGTAACAACTGTAGCTGAAAATACAGTATTTTCAGACACTTCAAATGAAGAGAGGGAAAGCCATGAGTACCAAATTCCAACAACTGTGTATTTTTTCATAGATTCTTTTCCAACAGTTGCTTTGCACATAACTTGCTAATTCAAGGAAATAATGTGACTTTAAAGTGCACTAGATCTGAAGTATTTATTTATTTACAGATTCTTTGATGTCTAATGATGTTCTGTGAAATTTTATCTTCAATATTTGTCCCTCTGTTAATTGTTCCGCTTTTTTAATGGCTTGTCTCCATATAAAGAGGTGCAAACTTACTCTCTTTTGTTCCTCTACATTCAAATAAATATTCACATACGAAATTGTTAATACATTTTTTTTTCAGTACTGGATATAGATATGCATAGTTTGTCTATCTTCGCAGGAAATTTCCAATGCCAGTTGCAAAAATTGAAAAATACAGTTTTCTGTGAAAATACCCTGCAGAAAAAGATGTAAGCCTGGATGTAAAGGAGTCTCGGTATGAGTTATCAGATATGAAATCACATCTAGGAAAAGTCATCTCAAATGCTTTCTGTATGTATTTGTTTCATTTGTAGTTAACCACAGAATCACAGAAAGGTAGGAGCTGGAAGGGACCTCTGTGGGTCATCTAGTCTAACCCCCCTCCGAAGCAGGGTCACCTACAGCAGGCTGCACAGGACCTTGTCCAGGTGGGTC